TGCCCCCAGCCCTGCGTCTCCTCTGCCGCCTGGCGCCGCTCCTCCTCCTCCTGCACACAGGAAAATCATGGGCACTATTGTCCAAATATTTACTCGCTTATTTCTCTTGCCTACAGCAGGAGTAGGCAGCAAACATAACACTGATACAGGCCAAATTGGGTCAGAATGACCCACATAAGAGCAAAAAGTGTACCACTATTTGGACAAATTTTCACTTATTTATCTTAGTGTACAGCGCAGTAATAGCCAGAGATGAAAAGGAAAATTTGATTTGTCACAAGATTTTGTTACTTGCATAATATTTGTGGAAATTGTAATCTACAGATGCTGAAACTGTAAACAAATTAGGATGATTTCTTCAAATTAGGCAAATTTCTTAAGCACTCGCCTAAACAACACAAGTCAATAAGAACTGACATAGTTGACACACAGTTTTTTGAGCATTCACCTAAACAACATAAGTCAATCAGAACCGACATCTTCGACACACACGGTGTTTCCTGCGCACTCACCTAAACAACATAAGTAAAAGAGAACTGACCTCTTTGTTGCAGCGCTGTTTATTCAGTACTCACCTTAACAACATAAGTCAACACAAACTGACCTCTGTGAACCAGCGCTGTTTCCCAAGCACTCACCTTAACAACATAAGTCTCTGTGAACCAGCGCTGTTTCCCAAGCACTCACCTTAACAACATAAGTAAACACAAACTGACCTCTGTGAACCAGCGCTGTTTCCCAAGCACTCACCTTAACAACATAAGTAAACACAAACTGACCTCTGTGAACCAGCACTGTTTCCCAAGCTTTCACCTTAACAAAAAGTCTTGCGCACTCACCAAGAACTGACCTCTTAGATGCAGCACTGTTTATTCAGCACTCACCAAAACAAGATAAGTCAATGAGAACTGACCTCTTTAAGGCAGCGCTGATGTTCCTCCAGCTCATACTGGTACTTGGGTGCAGTAATGCCAAGGTAGTAGGCAATGTTCTCGCCAAGGTAGTCACAGACTGCCAGAGCCCGGCTGCTGGTGGTGATCATTTGGTATCCAAACCAGCCAATCCAAGACAGCTCAGACTGTAAACAAATACAGTAAACTCAGACTGTAAACAAATACAGTAAACTCAGACTGTGAACAAATACAGCAAACTCAGACTGTAAACAAAGTAAACTCAGACTGTAAACAAATACAGTAAACTCAGACTGTAAACAAATACAGTAAACTCAGACTGTAAACAAATACAGTAAACTCAGACTGTAAACAAATGCAGTAAACTCAGACTGTAAACAAATACAGTAAACTCTGACTGTAAACAAATACATTAAAATCAGACTGTAAACAACTATGTAAACAAAAAAAAACATCATATGCAGCCAATCCAAGACAGCTCAGACTGTATACAAAACCATCATATGCTTCTTCTGACATACATGTTCTATTACTTTGCCAAGACAGAAATTTTTTTCAAATTCCTGTACATACCTATATCTTAATGACCAGATAATTTATCAATTTAAATTATTAGAGAGTGGAAAAATTCTTCATATGATGTTGGTAGATTGAAAGGCATTTTTCAGGAAGTAGTAGTTTTGGTTTATTAGCAATGTTTCGAATGCAACAAATATTCATATTCAAGTTAAAAGAAGCAATAAACATTGAAATAAATTGAAAATGATTGGTTGTGGTGCTTAAAATGTCATTAATTAACTAAAACTACTTCCTGAAAAATGCCTTTCAATCTACCAACATCATATGAAAAATTGTTTCACTCTCTGATAATTTAAATCAACAAATTCTCTGGTCATTAATTGCACCATAAACAAGCAAATTCTGCCATCTAATACTAATATACATACTATACTTAAGGTGCAAATTGCAATTTTTGAATTTATGGTCGCCACAGTGAAAATGTTACAAGTTGTTGTGGGCTGGGCTGCTTCTTTTACTGATGAATTGCTGACATTGTCTATACATACTGGTACCTAATACCTCAGGACTAGTTTAAATACAAGGGGAATTACAAGGGAAGTTACAATTTTTTTTTGCCATGAAAATCCTGAAAAACCTTTATCACCCTCATTCATCATTTAAAAATTATAAAAAAAATTTCCAATGTGTTAGTAATCGAATACAGTTATAACTGGAAAATGTCATTAAAATACTACCTTTTCTGTTATCAAGCTACTTCTTAAAGTCTTAACACATCAAGAACTCTCCTGTTGATTAAAACTTCTAATACATATATATCAAGAACTCTCTTTAGCATCATGTTTATATCCTCACAGCTTTTACAAGCTGAGATGTTTCAGCATGAGTGCGGCACATGTCGTCCTGCTCGTCGTCGGTGCTGTACTCCTCCAGCGTACCATCACTGAAGTACAGTACTCGTCGAGGAGCTTTCATGGCCTTCCGCTCCTGAGGATATTCTTCGGGTTCCACAAGCTTCAAGACTTTCTTAGGAGATGGGAATGTCTCCAAATTGATGGATACATTCTCCTGTAATAAACAATATTGATTAACTTAGCAATAGAGACTTTGAATTTGATGGCCTTCAGCTCTTGAGGATATTCTTCAGGCTCCACGAGCTTCAAGACTTTCTTAGGAGATGGGAATGTCTCCAAATTGATGGATACATTCTCCTGTAATAAACATTAAAGATGAACTTAGCAAGAGAGACTCGGAATTTGCTGGAAGTTTCCGCTCTTTAGGATATTCTTTGGGCTCCACGAGCTTCAAGACTTTCTTAGGAGATGGGAATGTTTCCAAATTGATGGATACATTCTCCTGTAATAAACAATATTGATTAACTTAGCAATAGAGACTTGGAATTTGCTGGAAGCTTCCGCTCTTGAGGATATTCTTCAGGCTCTACAAGCTTCAAGACTTTTTAGGAGATGCGAATGTTTCCAAATTGATGGATAATATATATATATATATATAATAAACATTATTGATGCAATTAGAAATAGAGACTCGGAATTAACTGGAAGCTATTGATACATATATAATTATAGGTATCTTATGCCCTAAACTCTAAAGTCAGATTCAACTTTGAAATTAAGCATTAACTTGAAATTATTTCCACTTGACCATTAGATATAAAAAAATATTGAAAATTTTAACAAGTTTAATGAATAATTTTATTTTCAATTAATCTAATGGTGTCCAACATACTCTCCACAAAATAAATTTCAAACAAATAAGCATAGAATGAATTAACAAAATCTTTATGGATTATTTACACATTTCATTTCATTTCTAACTGATAGAACAAAATATGGAAGCTTTGTGAATTGTAAATACAAACCTTTTCTTGGCATGCTGAAACAGCAGCGCTGGAAAATACCTCACTCATCTTAAGTTAAATTCTTGATTATTTTTTTGTACAACTCTGTAAGGCCTGAAGAAAATTTTCAGTACAATTAACAGATAATAATGACATAAACTAATAAAAATAAGCAGTACAATTTAGAACTCTGCAAGGCCTAAAGAAAATTTTCAGTACAATAAATAGATAATAATGACATAAACTACTAAAAATAAGCAGTACAAACTAGCAAATCACACAGTTTTGGTAAATGTACAACACAATTGCACACTTAATTGCTCAAGCTATAAAGAAGTTTTTACCATACTACCATAAGAACTAGCAAGTCAAGTGTTGTATGGTATCATGGATACGAGCATTATCATACATAAGAAATTGGTTCATATCTTGAGTAAATGAGGAAAATAGAAATGAACTGATTCTAAAAAATTGCTGTTTTGTCACTATGGGGTGACATGCACTGTCTCTCTTTGTATCTTAACATTTTCCTGCCAGACGGCCCAGACCCGGTGTTTTGGGCTTTGGCAATAGTGTGGCACACAATAGTTTATAGGGTAAATGCGGTATATTCCAACATCATGGGTAGTTTCAACACCTCTCTAGTTTTTCCTTTATATTAAGCTTTGTTTTAGTTCCATGCATTCGTTGATGGTTGAAATAGTGACGTCATACATTTGCGCATCAAACTTAAACTCAGACTGTAAACAAATACAGTAAACTCAGACTGTAAACAAATACCTACATTAAACTCAGACTGTAAACAAATACCTACATTAAACTCAGACTGTAAACAAATACCTATGTAAACAAAAAAAAAACATCATATGGTTATTCTGACAAACATGTTCTATTACTTTGCCAAGACAGAATTTTTTTTTCAAATTTCTGTACATATATCTTAATGACCAGATAATTCATCAATTTAAATTATCAGTGAGTGGAACAATTCTTCAGATGATGCTGGTAAATTGAGAGGCATTTTTAAGGAAGTAGTTTTAGTTTATTACTAATGTTTCATATGCAACAAACATTCATTTTCAAGTTACAAGAAGCATTGAATATTGAAATAAATTGTAAATGATTGGTTGTAGTGCTTAAAATGTTATTAATTAACTAAAACTACTTCCTGAAAAATGCCTTTCAATCTATCAACATCATATGAAGAATTGTTTCACTGTCTGATAATTTAAATCAACAAATTCTCTGGTCATTAATTGCACCATAAACAAGCAAATTCTGCCATCTAATACTAATATAAGTATCCTTAAGGAGCAAATTGCAATTTATGAATTTATGGTCGCCACAGTGAAAATGTTACAAGTTGTTGTGGGCTGCTTCTTTTACTGATGAATTGCTCACATGGTCAATATATAATGGTAGATACCTAATACCTCAGGATGATTTTGACTCAGCAGTTACAGGTTATTCTTGTGATGACAAAGACCAGTATATTAATTTGTTATCAAGCTCATTGATCTTACTTTTGAAATTTTTTTTCTAAGTGCAATGTTTCACAGTTTCTTTTACTTATGGATGAGTAAATTAGGTCTATTAGGTTTGATTTCGATTTCATATCATTAGTTACAATCAATAAAATACATTACAACAACCAAATGAAGTTGAACCCTAAGGGGAAAGAAAGGGCTGGTGAGCAAGGAAGGTTAAATATAAGGAGAATTACAAGAAAAGTTATAATTTTGTTTTCCATGAAAATCCTGAAAAACCTCTATCACTCTCATTCATCATTTAAAAATTAAAAAAAAAAATTCCAATGTTTTAGTAATCAAATACAGTTATAACTGGAAAATGTCATTAAACTACTACCTTTTCTGTTATCAAGCTACTTCTTACAGTCTTAACACATCAAGAACTCCCCTGTTGATTAAAACTTTCAATACCTATATATACCTATACCTACATCAAGAACTCTCTTTAGCATCATATTTATATCCTCACAGCTTTAACAAGCTGAGATGTTTCAGCATGAGTGCGGCACATGTCGTCCTGCTCGTCGTCGGTGCTGTACTCCTCCAGCGTACCATCACTGAAGTACAGTACTAATAATGACATAAACTACTAAAAATAAGCAGTACAATTTAGAACTCTGCAAGGCCTGAAGAAAATTTTCAGTACAATTAACAGATAATAATGACAAACTACTAAAAATAAGCAGTACAAAGAAGCAAATCACACAGTTTTGGTAGATGTACAAAACAATTGCACACCTAATTGCTCAAGCTACAAAGAAGTTTTTATCATACTACCATAGGAACTAGCATGTGTTGTATGAACAGCAAGTGAATAGTAGGTACCTATGTGTCTGATGAATAACATGTAAATAGCTAATAATTTGAGAAAATCTTCCAATAGTAAAGAAAGTTCCACCAGATGTGTTCTATGAGATGTCTTAGGAGAACATTTAGCCATAATTTGGACTTATTTTTCAGGAAATAGCAAAAACCGAAAATTCATGCCAAGTTCAAGTATGTAAATAGCTAACATGAATTATATGCCAGGGGCCATACTTTCAAAACTCGCTAAGCGAACGTAAGTACTTACGCACTATTTTCTTGTCTATGATTGGTGGATTTTGCTTGAAAGGCCGCCAATGATTGGCTGATGAATTTACGATCTCTTAACTTTTTTTGAAAGTATTGGCCTAGGTCTCCAGGGCTTGGTTGAGGGCTCTACTGAAGGGGCTAGGAAATACCAACTCCCAAGATGTGCTCTGTGCGTGGGAATTTATGTCTTCACTTTTCAATCAACATGGTTATGCCAAGAAATAAATTTCGCCATGCGCTCTACTAATGATAATTTTAACATGGGTGCAAGGCAATAACAACCATACTGCCATCTGGCAATGTAAATATTGTAAAAATTACTGTATATAGTTTGATGACTGGTGCTGACAATGGCTTCAGCCATGCAATGACCCAATATATAGGTAGTGTTGTGACCTGTGTGTCATTAGGGTAAATGCGGTAGGTATATTCCAACACATTATGGACGTAGCAAGAAATGAACGGCAAAAAATATCACCGTATGTGCAACTCGAGTTCTGATTGGTTTACGTCACTCTCAAAACACCACACTACGTGCCAGCAACAATGAAACGTCACAAACTGTTGCCATATTTATTTAAAAGCCCTTAGAATTCAAACCTACAAAATCCCTGAATTCCAACACTGTGTGTGACTAAATTTGGCATACTATGAGACTAATTCCGGCAGCGCTTCAAACTCTATTAATTTGTAATTCCAGCCCCTTGTGTTGGAATTCCGCTGCCCTGTGTGAGCTGTATTGGAATATGACACAGCTCAGAACGAGCTTAATTAAAAAATTTAAATTTTTTCATTAAGTTCATTCTGAGCTTAATTAAAATTAATTTGGACACATAAAATTAATTTTATGTGTCCAAATTTTAATGTTTGGACACAGCTCGGAACGAGCTGTGCATAGTGACAAACCAGAGATTTTTTAGAATCAGTTCATTTTTAATTTCCTCATTTACTCTAAGACTGTAACTAATTTCTTATGTATGATAATGCTGGTACCTGGTGTCCATGATACTTTACTGGTCTACATATAGGACTCAAGAATGAACTTGAGGGCGAGTCTAAAAAACTCTCTGCTTTGCCACTATGGTCAGCTGTGTGTGTGAGTGTGTCTAATTCCAAGCTGTGTTGGAATTAGTTTTTATGTGTCTAAACCCGTCGCTCAATTTAATCATCTATTAATTTATTTACCACTTGAAATCAGTGAATACAAGTATTGAAGTATACTTAAAGGATTCCTAATATGTTCACAGACTTATTTAAAAGTCTCAAACCATAATATTCTTTCTACACAAACAGTTCATCACTATTTGGTAGAGCAAGGTCAACTATCAACTTTGACACGTTTTTCGATGATCTCACTGCACACTGGGTAGTGGGTAGCGTGCATTGTCTCTCTTTGGATAATTGGATCTCAGTATTTTCATGCTAGATGGTCAAGACCTAGTGTTTTGGCAGTAGTTTGACGCCCAAATGTGTGACGTCACCCATGGTCAGGACTCAGGAAGATGTGCCAGGTGCGCGGGAATTTATTTTGTCATTTTAATGATCTGCGCGGTGCGCCGTACTACGTTGTTGAAAAAATGCGCAGTGCGCCATACTCTAGAAAGCTAAAATAGTTCTACTATTTTAGTCGACTAAAATAGTTCTACTATTTTAGTCGACAATATACGCGAGTATATTGACTACGTGAGTCGAACTGACAATAATAAAATGTAAGACATGTCCGGGTTACTTCTGACTCTTCCGGTTGTCCGCCTTGTCAGATACGGAACATACGGTAATCGTAAACTGTGGCGGTTATACATACGAAATGTAAACAGACGGTGTTCAGTGTTGCCATATGACTTTGGAGAAAATTTCTTCTAAAATAAAGATGGCTGGGATTGCACGAACACGTGCGCGAAGATAATCAATTTTCATTACATTGCGCCAACTGTGCACAGCAATAGCTTAAAAAAAGTGAAAATGCGCGGGAAAATTCACCGAAAACATACATCATCCTGAGTGTGGGACGTCACCATTTCAACCATCAATCAACGAACGCATGGAACTAAAACAAAGCTTAATATAAAGGAAAAACTAGAGAGGTGACGGAATTACCCACAATGTCGGAATATACCGCGTTTACCCTACCTCTCTAAAGGCTCTCTTCATAGAATTTCACTATGGAGTTGGGCTGGAGTGCTGGCTGTGTATCAACAGCGGTATGGTGTACATGGCTACATGACTACATCCAGGTCCAGGTGTAGGGAGTCCGGAGTTGCTTACCAAAAATTGTGAGGAGGTTAGACGGCATGGGATTTAGCTGTTGGGCACTTTCAAATACGGCGTAGCTAGAGCGATTGTATTTGTGGCTTACTTCTCATTAGCTCGCTGGTTAATTTCCATGAAGGGGATTTGTAGCAGGATGGAATTCTAAAATTTACAGTTCATATATTATTTTCGCTACACCTAGACCAGTTTTTCGATACAACATTATTTGAGGCAAAAAAATTAACTTCTTATAGGCTTAAACA